ACCTGTCATCATTGACATAAATTAAACATGTTGACTAAATAGTTATTAAGACTCAAATCATAAATTTGAAATGTTTTTCTGCCAAATATTCAACAGAAACTGTTTTATCATCATTTTTTGCAGAAAAATTTATGATTAATTTAAAAAAATAAGAATTTCCCAAATTTATTATTTTGGTGAAATAACTATCTACTCAACGTGTTTATTTTTCGTCAATAATGACATGTATTTACTATTTCCATTCTCCATTTTCCATTTATACAAAGAGATATTTTTAACGTAAAAAATCACAGAGATGTATATTTTTTCACTCGGTAGTTTTATACAGATACGGACAAAAAGTTATTATGCTTCAAAACAGTTAAAACACACGTAGGTGGCGCCCTCTACTAGTAGGAGTCATATTGACATCAACATCAAATTTCTCATGTCAATAAACTGCCAGACACCAATTTTCATCCAAATATTGACATTATTTCAGAAATTACTTTTCAGAAAAAATCGAAATAAAAATGAAACTTCTACACCCTGTGTCTCTGAAACTAAGCATTTTAGGACATACATTTATACGAACTTTTTTACTTATTTTTATCTGCAGAATATGCTGCTGAAGTTTCCGGAATACAGTTCGGACCACCCTGTATTTAATGAGTTGTAAGTAGATTATATTTCAGTATAAGCGAATTCTATTTTTATAAGAATAAAATTGGGTGGCTGGAGCCCCGCTAAACCTCTATAGGTCCGCCTCTGCTCATGCTAATAGAGAAACAGCTCTGAATCTTAAAAAAACACCGTATAAAATTAAAGGAAAAACAAACTATATGATTTAGCAGCTCGCAAAGAAATTTAATTGGATTTTATTCGGCAGGAGAAGCTTTTATTCACGTAAATTAGTTTTCTGAAAAAAAAAAGAATAAAAATCTAGTTTTAATAAATTTCAAATCTAATAAGAAGCCTAGTATTATTTTTTTCATACTTGAATAAAATAAGTAATTTTTATAACCCTCAATCAGTTGCCACTGGCAATGACAAGAGTTTGATGACAATGACAGCTATATATATAATTCAATAAAACAAGAGATCAATAAAATTGAAATAATAGATAAATTAAATAATATAAAATTCCTAATTATATCGTCTGGTATCTGGTATTATGAATATTACACGCTATATAATAATGTAAGCTGGCTTAATTATCTTAATTAATAGAGCATTTAAATCGTAACGCAGTATATATCGCCAAATCGCACCTAATTCTCCCTATGTAATATAGATTAGATATAGATAGATAGATTTCCTTATAATTTAGATAGAAAATATACAGGGTGGTCCGAACTGTATTCCGGAAACTTCGATAGCATATTCTGCAGATAAAAATAAGTAAAAAAGTTCGTATAAATGTATGTCCTAAAATGCTTAGTTTCGGAGATACAGGGTGCAGAAGTTTCATTTTTATTTTGATGTGTTCCAAATAATTTCTGAAGTAACGTCAATATGTGGATGAAAATTGGTGTCTGGGAGTTTTTTGACATGAGAAATTTGATTTTGATGTCAATATGGCACATATTTGCAGAGGGCGCCATCTACATGTGTTTTAACTGTTTTGACGAATAATAACTTTTCGTCCGTACCTGTATAAAACTGATGAGTGAAAAAATATACATTTCCGTGACTTTTTACGTAAAAAATGTTTTTTGGTAAAAATCGCTATGAGCAACCGTTCTCAAGATATTTAGACTGAAAATAGTCAATACATGTCATTATTGACAAAAAAACACGTTGAGTAGATAGTTGTATATTTGACTGAAATAATAAATTTGGGAAATTTTTATTTTTTAAATTAATCATAAATTTTTCGTTGAACTTTTCTGATGAACTTTCTTTTGAACTGATTTCAGTCTAATAACTATTTAGTCGACATTTTTAATTTATGTCAATGATGATAGGTATTGATAATTTCGATTCCAAATATCTCGAGAACCATTACTCGTAGCGATTTTTACCAAGAGACCTTTTTTACGTAAAAAACGCAGTGAATGTATATTTTTAGTAGTATATATTTCTCAGTAGTTTTATACAGGTACGGACGAAAAGTTATTACGCTTTAAACTAGTTAAAAATATGTAAGTGGCGCCCACTACAAGTAGGAGTCATATTAACATAAAAATCAAATTTCTCATGTCAAAAAACCCCCAGACACCAAATTTCATCCAAATATTGCCGTTACTTCAGAAATAATTTGGAATAAAAATGAAACTTCTACACCCTGTATCTCCGAAACTAAGCATTTTACGACATATGCTGCCGAAGTTTCTGGAATACAGTTCGGACCACGCTGTATATCAAATTAAGCTCACATACAGAATGTGCCACCAGGAACTACAAAATGTCATACACCAAAAATTACTGGAAAAGCTCGTGTACTCTAAAATTAGCTAGCTAATCAATAAGCTCTCGTTTAACCGTTTCTGTTATATCAATCGATGTAGTTCCCGTTCTGACACCCTATATATATTGAGAGTATAATTTCCAAAAAAAATGACAGAGACCTTCATTTTTTCATAGCCATCACTAATGCCTTTTTTTTTTCGATCATACTGTAATATAGCCTAGTGTAAAAGCCTAAAAACCCTGTATGTTATGAGTATTGATTTATATTTAAAACTTAGTAAACTTTGCTAAAACTGTTACACATTACAGACATCACTGAATCGATAAAGGTCTAATTTCAAGTTGTATGTTTGTAATATATAATTTTATAGGTTTCGTTATTACTAACAGAGCAGGGCTTAAGGGAATAAAAAAAGCACTATCTAAACTTAACTGCTAAAGCACTTAAAAAACTACACAGCTAAAGGCAAGAAAATATTATTTATTAATATACACTAAAGCTGTAAGAATTCTGTTCATTTAATATATATTTGAGCGGGCCGAAAAACGCTCTTTACCATCTTTTGACGGGAGATGCACTAATATCTCACCGACACTTTACGACATCTTCTGTTGATATAGAAGAAGTTTTGGTTGCCGTATCGGTGAGAACCAGCCCCTGGACAGCCCACCTGACAGCCCACCAGAAACCGGTTGTGGGAGTGGAGCTTGGTTTCCCTTTCCCCCTTTACGACAAGCAAAACAATTTTCTTTTAACTTTTTTTTCTCTACTTTCGATTTTTCGAAATTAGAAAAAATACACAGCTAAAGGCAAGAAAATATTATTTATTAATATACACTAAAGCTGTAAGAATTTTGTTCATTTAATATATAATAAATATCTATATAATATATACTTAAATATACCGGGTGCGTCTCAAAAATGGCACATCCCTATAACTTTTTTATTTTTTCAATTAAAAAACCAGATTTGGTATGTTAGTATATAACATAAATTAGGATCGATTGACGTATTCAATTGTTTTCAGTCACTTCTTGTTTCACGGGAAATGACTAAAACTTTTGATTTTTAAATGGCACCCTCGGCATTTTGTTATTTTATTCGATAGAAAATAACAATTTATATAGAATGACATATCATATGTCAACTTTTGACATTTTCGCATATGGTTTATTTGAAATTATAACTTATTTGAAATTATAACTATTTTCGTTACGTTCGTAACGAAAATTTGACTCGAAATACCAAGTGTGTGGTATCAAATTATTCGTAAAATGCTTTTTCCAAATATGCTGATGAGCCACCTTCATTCCATTTGAAAAAATTGAGATATCATTAAAAATACGATTTGGCAATTTTCTAACCGGCCAGGACAAGACACTAAAAACATTAGACGATCAAATCTATGTTTCCAAGGCTCCTTGATTAAGAATTAGTTTTTTTAACATAGCCTTGTCACTCTAGATTGAAATTTAAAATACAATTTTTTATTAAGCGAGAATGTCAAAAGTTGACATATGATATGTCATTATATTCAGAAAGTAAGTTTCTATCGAATAAAATAAAAAAATACCGAGGGTGCCATTTAATAATCAAATGTTGTTGTCATTTCCGGTGAAACAGGAAGTGACCAAAAATAACCTAATACGTCAATAAATCCTAATTTTTGTCATATACTAACATACCAAATCTCGTTTTTTTATCTGAAAAAATAAAAAAGTTATAGGGGTGAGCCACTTTGAGACGCACCATGTATACATATATTCTTTTTACTTCTTAAGTATATATTATCATAATCAGAGTTTTTAATCAATTGTTATCTATTTACACATAGTTCTTTCGGTGTAACATTATTAAACTATTTTTTACAACTTAAAATGAATAAAAAATTATACACTTGTATTTTATTTAAAATTAATCAGGAACTAAATGACTCAAAATAATTAAAGTGGGTGTTTATTATATATATTTATTTGTTAATCATTTTTATGCCACCCACTTATAAACTATGTCAAAATAAATATCTCCGAAAACATTTTTCTAGAAATGGTGATTTTACTTTCGGTTTATACCAGTGTACAAAAAATCGGCCTAATAAAGTTATATTGATTATATTTCTAACGACTGATTAGATTACTCTACGCCAAATATTGGGTTAATCACAAAGATTAATAAGCAAAAATTCCATTTCCATTTGGAAGTTTATTTTTTGAGTCATCGACAATGTAAATAGTTTGTAAACGTAGTAACACTAAAATTAGGGTTAGTTTTCAAATTATACCTCAACAATAAGCAGTTTATGGGAGTACATAAACAGCTTCAATAATCATAATATTCCTACTATGCACAAAAACAGTATTTCTAGGTAAAAGGGTAATGCCGCTGTATCATAAAATACCCAAGTTTATTAACTTGTTTAGTCAGTAAGCTTTGATACTGTATCCATGTTCTCTGCTAATTGGCAATGGCATTTTATAAAAAAATAACAAATAATTCCCAGATACTTTCCCAGAAGTATTTATGCTTGTACTTAATGGATTGCAAGTCATATTTGAGTGTGTCAGTGAATTTTATTTTTATAAAGACGGAAAACGTCTTGTAAGTGTACCTGTTTGTCCATACGCAAAAATGCACGCGTTGTACCCCTGGAATGCGTTGTCAAGAATGTCTCTACCTAATGAATCGAAAACAACTTCTTGAGATGCAAAGTCGCTAACATTCGGATCCACTGAGCAGAAACAATGATCGAAAGCAAAGGTTTTCGATTGTTTCCTGAAATAAAAAAACATCCTCAAGTTTAATTGGTTTTGTTACTTATGATTATTTCACACCTTTCATCTATACAATTTTGATAAGAATAATGTGGGCAATATAACAAAGAGTTAGGAGATACAGAGGAGTTTATTAAATTACCTACCCTCTTTAGAATGAAGTTTATGATTGTCAACTTCAATTGGTTTCTTTCTCTAATTTAATTATATTCTCAATACAAGTCGCTGGCGTAAAAAATCTATTTTTAACATTAAATTAAATTTAATATACTGTAATACTGTATGGGATAATTTGCTCTATACATATTTATAAAACAACATTATAAACATCCTGTATTATTCATATAATATACAAATCGACATCATAAAAAAGTATTGAAATTTTTATTTTGGCACCTCACACATCAGACTTGTAGTAGCTTGTCTTTTAAGTAATACACCAAAACTCAAAAAATAAGGTGTCAAGGATATTTGTCATTTATTGACAAGAACAGACCATAGATATAGACCAATTAAATATCATTAATAATGTAGAAAATAGAATAACCCATTAAAATCGTTACAATACAAAGATACTTTGGTATGTATTATACGCCACCAATCGATAGATACACAGCTATTAATATACTTTTGCAATTAAATATTAAACCCCGCTGTTATAAAAGGAACATTGATAGATTTTTCTATGACGATAGGGGTTGGTATTGATTGTGTCTAATTCAACAGTTTTACTAGGACTATAGGATCTATCAATAAAAATAAATACAACAAAAATAAATATATGAATTAAATATAAAAATGAGTCTCTTGAAATCAGACATTACGTATAGGTGATGGTTACTCAAGAATTATATTAAAACAGCCAGATTAAAATTAAATTGTTTTTTATTTTCCTTTTCTATGACATTCTTGCAATGAATCATATAGGTAATTGATCCTCTGTAAACTGATCTACATTCAACTGATTTTAATTTTGTTTACTAAAAACCAACATAAATAAGTCTACTCAGCTACCTCGACTGATTTTTTTTCACTATACAATACCTAATTAAATGTATTAAGGGCAATATAATATTTTGGCACTGAAAACAAGAAACAAAATCAATAAACACAGTCTACGAGCTCTGTGAAATACTACAGGTTGAACTAGCCTAATAAAACAAAATTTAAAAATAATATTTCACTGTCCATTGAAAATAAAAAAAATTACAAACAAAATATCGTTAACAATATCCAACATTAACATAAAAATACCGGGTGTTTCTCAAACGTGGCTCACCCCTATAACTTTTTTTTTCAGATAAATAAACGAGATTTGGTAGGTTAGTATATGTAATAAAACAGGCTTGATAGACGTATTCAATTTTTTGGCACCCAATGGTACTCTCGGTATTTTTTTTACTTCATTCGATAGAAAATGACACTCCGAAGAGAATGACATATGATATGTCAACTTTTGACATTCTGGCTTAAAAAAATCATATTTTAAATTTCAATCTAGAGTTTTTAATCAAGCAGAAATAGATCTGATCTTCTAATGTTTATCGTATCTTGTCCTGGCTAGTTTAAAGATACCCAAATCGTGTTTTTAATTATAAATTTTTTCAAATGGAACAGGGGTGGCTCATTAGAATATTTGGAAAAAGTATTTTTTTACGAATAATTTGATACCACACACTTGGTATTTCGAGTCAAATTGTCGTTACATTTATTGTCATGGCACCCTAAATTGAAATTGAAATTTTTAATTGAAAGCCAAATCTCATTTTCTATCCAAACCAAATCTCATTTTATATCAAATGAAGTAAAAAAATACCGAGGGTTTCACTTAAAAATCAAAAGTTGTCGACAATTCCGGTGGAACAGGAAGGACCGAAAACAATTATTGAATATGTCAATCAATCCTAATTTATGTCATATACCGAATAGCGTGCCAAATCTCGTTTTTAACTGAAAATATCAAAAAGTTATAGGAGTGACACTTGTAATAAACACTCGCTATTTATAATCTAATTAAACGCATTTATTAAAAATAATTAAAAATTATTTATTATTTAAAAAATGATTTACTTAAACTATTCGATAACATACTAAGCAAAGTGCTTTTACTCGATTTTCCAACAATTTTTTTAAGTAATTTAAAAGACTTTAAGTTACACAAAAAAATATCTAAAAATATATTGATGACTAAAAACGATATCCATAAAAATTCGTCGAAACTATCAGCTACCTTAAACAGCGTTTTGTTTTGTTAAAGTTAGTGTGCATCTAATAAAGAAAATAGATATTTTTGAAACCTATAGAAACCATCATTTTTTAAATACTTGTCACAAACAAAACAAAAAAAATGTTTCTACAAATAATGAATTAATGAGATCCTTTAATTAAAAAGAAAACAATTTAATTATATTTCTCAAGTGTCTCGGAACTAATTATCTTTTCTTCTTTCCTACCCACTGTAGAAATGATACAATAAATAGTTCCTTATTTCATGTGTAAGGAAATTGTAAAAAAGTAGTAGGTATTTTCAAACGAGCAAATTATACAACTGCAGCACCAATAAAGTAATACTCATTTCTTTAAACTCAATAATCAACTATGTATATGCTTTATGTAAATAAAATGCTTTAATTAAAAATAATCACAAAACCGTAAATTTTTACAATACAACAGAACTTCCCTACATTATTTCCTCCAGACAAAAGATTACAAATACTTAACACACACCCATAATACAGGGTAACACGTTGTTAATATTTCCTGATATAAAGTATATATCCCCATATAAATTTCCATATAAAATGACAGCGATTTTCCATTCATAGCCATTGCTGACGCCGTTTTTTTTTCGATCATACGGTTGAATAAATTAATATATTCATTAAACACCGAATAATAATATAGAAGTAATACATTGTAATTGTACATTATAATTTTTATACAAACTGTATACTTATTTATAGAAGTGCAAATAGAACATAAATTGATGGAATTAAGTTATTGATAATGATAAACATACTGAGAAAAAATAATTACATATATTATAAACACAACATCTTCCTAATGATTTTCATTTGTAAAACCAGGTGCTTGTAGGGCAGTTTTATTATCATTTATTTATTGTAAGTAATTGTTAAATGTCTGAATTGAATAGAAATAATTGAACAATATGACCTTGTATTACTAAAATCACCTAAGTCAATAAATGGTAAACAGCTTATGTATGTCAGTGACATATCAGAAATTAAGAGATAATGAAGGGATTATTCAGATATACTAAAACTAAAAATCAAGAAAAATACTTTATATAAGTAAAGGAAAAAATATTTATAATTTAATTTGAAAAGATATAATGCTTTCCTATTAAATAAGTATAGAAATATCTATGCGCACATAAATAATAATAAAGAAAAATCATACATAAAAAATTTATGCTAATAAAATAAATTTAACAGACTTGATATCACTCAACAAGGTGACTGCTTAAAATAAGTCAACAGTAGTAAAAGCTTCCTAAAATAATACGAGATAAATGTTATTTACTAGCAAACAATGATGACAGACAACCAGAAACTTTTTAATGATATTCTCCAAAAATAAACTTGACTTTCATCTTGGAAAGTACAAAAACCCAAAGATATTGACTGCATAGAAATATAATTTTATTTCTATGTTTATAGAATGTAGATTGTTAAATTCTTAGAGAAAATATTATTTATATGTACTGTTCCTTTAAATTAATTTGTTCAAGAAATTAAGACAACATTTTAAGTACAATTATTAGTTGTCAAGATCTGATGCATTTGATAAACTCCCTTTATTAAAATAAACTCCCTTGGCTTTTTAAGAAAAATCTTCGAAAAACTTAACAGATATTTACCTCTCAACTTTATCCAATGTTGTAGGCTGGTGAAGAATGGTTTGTTGTTTATCCATTTCTACGACGCATTGCGTCCCCAGTTCGAGCTCTGAAGAAAGAGATAATAGTATTAATATACCATAAACACATATGTACATCTTTTAAACTAAGGAAAACCATAACAGTTAAATACCTATTGAATGCAATTACTTATGTATTTTAAAACAAATTCCTACTAAAATTACAAACAATCTGAACTATTAATATAAAAATATTGTTAATTGCACAACAATTCGATTCAATTTACATGTTTATTTAGTATAAATTAAACCATATTGCCTAAATAACAACAAAAATTAAGGTTAGATTTAAGTATGAATGTTCTCTTTGTATTCATTGAAAGAATTGTCCTGTATTTATTTACAACACCATGATTTGCAAGCAATATTCGTTAATAGGCAGCTACGGTTTTTATTTTATGTTTTATTCACTTTAAGAAGAAATACATTGCTAAATCCTTCTAGCGAATATCACCTGGTGTGTCTGTCGCAATGTCAATAAAAAACAGAGCTTAGATCATTCCTTGTTTATAAAGTGTTTCTTGGAGAAAACAGGGAATGACATTATATACCAAACAAAAAGGACATTATTTTCTATGTTTACATCTAGTTTTGTTAAACGTTTTCCAATAATACTACGTTACCTCTTCGATTAAAAGGACGGAGCCTTACAGCGACTTTTATTTTATCCGTAGACATGTTGACAAATTCTTCTTAAATTAAATAATAAAATATTTCATATATACACTATTATCACACTTTCTTTGTATATTTAATTATGCTACTATCCATTTTCAAACATAGTAAGTCACAAGATAGCACTTATCACAACACGTAAATCTTCTACTTTCGCCATGTTAGACAGAAATATTGGACATTGCGCCGTATCACATTTTATTCAAAGCACTGCGCAAATTTTACCACAGAATAGAGTTTTAGATTTTATGCAGCAGAAACCTTGGAAAGATTATACAACCAACAATACTTTACGTACACTGGTATTCATTCAAAATCCCGCGTAAAAAAACTTTTTAGTGAAAAGATATAGATAAGGCAACCATTAATATTCTTGAGATGTTCTTATTATTAGCATTTGGTAAATTTTGTACTTATAGGTACAAAAAAACGGCGTCCAGTTGGCTTGGAAATGACGATCAATGACATTCCCCCTATAATTTTACATATAAAATGATAGCGATCTTCATTTCATAGCCATCGCTGACGCCGTTTTTTATTGATCATACAGTACCTCTTGTGTACTAATAGGTACCCACATTTCAAAAACGATATAAAAATTAACAAAATAGATAAAAGCTTATATTTTGATGTTTTAAAGGACTGTTGATTATTATAACAAACGTATCAACTGCCTCAGGCATATAGAAATCCAACTGCAGAAAAAAGACTGTAACATAATATTTTCTTTGAATTCAGGTACAGCATAAAATGAAAATGTTATTCCATTTATAATTAAATGACAACAAAATATTATACAGTATTATAATGATACTGAATTGTTCTGGAGTGTTTTATATGAAAATACGATTCGGAGATAGGCCTCTTGTGATATCACATCAAGTACAAAATATAGGAAATATTTCAGGAAATAATATTTCAAGTTTAGTCTTACTATATCTGTTAAGTTTTTGTTATATGAGTTATTGACAGCACAATTTATAGGCAATGAATAGTTTAAAAAATAAGCGTTAAGCATGCTGTTTCACATGGAGCGGACCGTCCGCACTGATCGTCCCTGTTGTGCCGTTTCATAAGGAGCGAGCCGTCCGTCCGGACCGTCCGTTGGTTAAACAAGTACCATGAGTTTATATGAATAATTTCACATTGGCGCGGATGATCCGGCCGGATGATTTCGCCCGACGGTCATCCGTCGAGCTTTTGCTTCGACCATCAGCGCGCGTAGTGCTATATATAGCTCTTGTCTATAAATTAATGATAATATCTTCAGAATCTCTAACTAAAGCTAATAAAACTTTTTAGAGGAGTTCAACTACGGTAGCGAGCATTTCCAGGAGGCAGTGATTTTTTTGTGCTTATTTTCCCATTGGGTGAATGTACTATTAAAGTACGTTCGGATGGTGACACTAAATGACAATTTGTAAGTCCGGCTAAAATTTTCGGATGGGTACACTAGATAAAAAACTAAACAAGTTCACTTATTTTCCCAGTCATAAATACTAGTTGATTCATTTTATTAATGGAAAAAACAGTCTGGCATTTTCCGAGTGGAGGAAAGTCTGAATGGAGGTGTGGCTGACAATTTGCGGTTGAAAAAATTTGACAGATTTTTGAAATCCGTAACCCTTACTTTCCCATGCTTGAAATTTAACGTATCATTTGATACTATCATAAACTATAGTCAAAAACAAGTTTGGCTCAAATCGGCAAATGAGTCTGGCGGCATCTCGAAAATTGCAAAATTACAAAATTTTTGTTCTTATTTTCCCGGATTTTAAAATTTGACGATAAATGATAATTTCATAGAAAATACACGTCTGGTTGTCATTTATAATCACAGACTCACAAGACAGGTAGTTAAATGAGGAGATGAAGCGCTACGTATGAATGTGCGTATGAATTTAGCGCACCTGACAAGCGTTGGACGAGTCTGGCAAGCCTTTTAGCCAGATTATATTTCTAGCTGTAATTATTATAATATAAAATATCATCAGACAAATTTTTAGAACTGCGAAAATAGGTGCAATGGTTTAAATAATATTTATCCAATTTTTCTCCTGATAGACATATTACCCATTCTCACAAATTATTATTTATATTTATTTAGTAGTAATTATTATTTATTTTTCAGTCATAAATATTTGACATTTATTAAAGTGAATTATCGTATCAATGGAAACCTCAAAAACAAATGTGTCTAGCACATACCAAGTGGAGGAAAGTCAGTCAAGGCTGAAAATTAGCCGATGCAAAAATTTGATAGATTTTTGAAATCCGCAACCAGTGGCGCAACTTGGAGGGTGGGCAGGGGGGGCTTAGCCCCCCCTGATGACCAATGCGTGTCGTATAAAATTGGTTCTAACCTCACATGAATTTTATCTTATAGTGACCTAAGACCCCCCCCCACCCAAAAAGACTTGAGCCCCCCTAAAAGTATATGTCTAGTTGCGCCCCTGTCCGCAACCCTTATTTTCCCATGCTTACAATTTAACGTATCATTTTATACTATCATAAACTCTAAACATTGATCATAGGTCGCGTTCATCAGGACGTAGCGCTACCGCAGCGATCACTAATTTTCTGCTGAACGCGCCGATTAGTTGTGAGCGCTCTGGGATCAGTCGCCATTTTTTCCATCAGATTTAAAATACGCTACGCTACCGATGCATGATGGATTAAACGTCACATACGCCAAATGTCACAAAATGTTTTTGGAAAACGGAAACAAAGCATTTTGTTTATTGTTCTCGGTTGACTAATCCCCTCGATTTGTGCCAAAAATGGGTGAAAACAATTTAATATGCATTACTTATGATTTTGATCTAAAAAGCACGTTCAGCAGGACAACCAATCGCTCACTGATCAACTTGTCCTGATGAACGCGACCATAGACTCAAGATGTTATAAGATGTCAAAAGCAAGTCTGCCTGATTTTGACAAATTGTGTAGTCGGGTAGTAATTTCTGCCGTACGAGCGTTCAGGTCGGAATTTTCAAAATCAACTGAAATGTACCAATTTAAATTTTAACAAAACACTTCATAGAACTACAGAATCAGCTTTCAGTGCCAAGAAAAGGGATAAAGAGTACAATACACGAAAACGTAAAACTATTTTTCTATGAAAATACTGTAAAGTTTTTAAGCATTCAAATATTAAAACCAACTTAAAAAGAAAATTACTGAAAATTAAATTTGCAAAGTACTTTTATAATTTGAGTTCATAATTTATTATTTTTACAATGTACCTTTCCTTTCATTTCTTTCTGCTGTATAATAATAATTTTTATATTTACATATATGAACACAATTAACAATTAAACACCGCCAAATTGTGTAGTGAACGGCTCATATGTCACACATATTTTGTTGCAGAATAATTCTATTATCAAAACCTAAGTTTTGTTTGTGTCGTCTGGGTTTGTCTGGAAGCTCCAAATTAATTCCGGAACGTTAAACTTTATTCATTTAGCTTAAACTTTACCTTTAATGGCTTCTAGAAATTTACCCTGGTTTTCATTTTAGTCAACTCTCCCTTAACTCAAACTTACAACTTGTCTGATGAATTTTGTAGGACAGACACCGTCTTAGGAAAACTACGCAACCTACACTTTGGAATCCTACAAACTGTAAAGTTTTAGGTCATTACTTATTTAATTAAAAACCACTAGATTCTGCTATTCAGGTATTCTTATTGCCTAAGAGAAATGCTCAAGCAAGGGTGCAGTATTACAATCATAAGAGTCATTAATATATACCTACATATTTTTTGAGGTGTAAAATACTTTTACGTACGGAGTGTGGGACTCAATTTCTCCTTAAGCTGATTGGAGGATAATACCCACTAAACAACACCCCTTACACCTGCCACGTTTACTTGAACCCGCTGGACGCATCTCCTCAAGTAGAAACCGGATTGTTATTTTTTTAATCACCTCTTCGCTGTATTTTGCCGCTAGCTTCTGTTCAAGTTCCGATATGCCGAGCAGACCTTCAAAGCTACGACCAGTGTACCCTCAAGTCTTTTTTATTTACTTGCAGGTTGGTTGCTTCATTCCACACAGGTGCTCTTACGCGCACTTACTCGCCGTTTTAAAACAGTGCCTAAAAACGTGCGCGTAGGATGCATCGCGGCGAGCATCGCATCGAGATGCCCCACTATGTTTGTACGCTTAGAGGTAGTTTGGATCTCTTTCATTCATTAGGATATTCATGTCTCCGAAGAAAGTTATTATAATAATTAATATTCTTCTACATTGCCCAGTATTAACGTCATTAGCGTAACTAGCAATTTATTCTGGGGTGGGCTTGGGGGGGTGGGGCTAAGTTTGAGCTCAGGGGGGGGGGCCTAGGGCTTTTATTTTCTTAAAAATGAAAAATAATTTTAAAAAACTCATTTTTTGAATAAAACGTTTTACATGAATATCTCTATCAATAAATTTCATAGACTTGGTTATCAAACCGTGTTCCCGTAGATTACTTAAATACCTACAGATTTTCTAAAAAAATAAAAATTAACACATTTTTTGAACACAACAAAATAGTATTAACTAAACAAAACTAGAAAATGTCATTTTTACTGCATCACAAGCAAATAAAAATGAATACGTAGCCAAGAGTTCAGGATTCAGGATTTCTCTGGGGGTTGCCCAGCAGTACCTAGGGGGGGCTGCGCACCTGAAGTTGCGCCAATGATTAACGTTTTTATCACATTTGGTGGTAAGTTATCACAGCCAGGAGATTTCTTAAATTTTATATTTTTGGCAGCATTTATTTATATTATCTGTATTAAAACATCACATTCTTTTATCGCAGTTTTTTTATCACTTTATTGAGACCAGGTTTGTCTCTCGTTTACAAATAGAGTCTTGAACTGTTTGACTGTTGGATTTTTTCTTCTGAAGCCATTTGAACTGTGGGTGGCATTTTCTTCAGCTGGGATCTTATTATCTTATATGCTTGGCCATAATCACTTTCTTGTAAGTCATAGCAAAGTTTTTCCCATGAGTTTCTTTTCCAACTCCAATCTTGCGACAGATCCTGCTTTGCTTCTTTGTAAGTACGTTTATAAACCTCGCGAAGATCATTTATTGTTTCTTGTTATCTGTGTGTAATGGTATTTCTCCTATAGATATCACGTAATTCACAAAATGTTGCATGGCTGTAATAATATACAAAAAATAGAAATAATAAAAATAGTAGGTAGTTTTAAAAATAGACCAACCCACATTTGATTTGTAATACCTATGTATGTAGCAATTTTAAAATGCCAGCAGCGATAGAGGGGTGATATTATCTAAAATTACGTAAAAGAGTTCAAATGGCACCATAAAATGCCACAATATCGTTAAAACTAATTGGATTATTCTTAAAACCGGATTTAAGCATTTTAGATTATTTTTTTTTATTAATTATACGTATATATGTATTATGTATATAATGGATATATCCATTACGTCATTTTAAGATTTCTTATTATATAGACAATGTTCTCTGGGTCTGGACTCCAACTGGGAATTTGAAAATCATGTTTAAAGGTAGCCGTACTGTACACATACATGCAGTTTTTCATCAAGGCAAAACTGCGCAGTGGAGGCTTTGAAAATTTTGTTAAAATGCGGATATGGCGACGGTGCTTTGGTAGCATAGAATAATTAACTGTTTGGTAGTATGTAATTGGTTGCCGTCAGTTTATACGTTATCAGCTGATTGACCGACCAGGCATCAAAGAATCGTCAGTTTTTTACTTTATTTCCTGCAAACATTTCTCAGGTTATCTATTTTTTTAATGGTAGCATCTTTTACAGCATTCGGCTAAATCTCTCTCTCTCTCTTTCTGCTGATCTTGCTTATGTAGTATTTTTTTATTCCTGTCGCAGCATTCTTTACACTTTGTTTGCCAAATGCAAGGCTCACTTATGTATATTTTAATGAAATCTTCCACAAATTAACAGTCCATTTATGGAAAATAATTGTAGCGCAGAGAGGAAGACTGGTAAATTAACTTACAGTGCTACTACACATGCCGATTTTGGCCTTGTTCAGTAGAGTGCACAAAAAAAACTCCTTTTAGTTACCGTGAAAATATGGTTCGCGACGCCGACGATGAAATAAAATTCTGGTGAAGTTTGAGCTCTTAATATTAATATTATAAGATGTGCCTCATCATAATTTTCTTCCTATTTAAATACCACGGGGAAACAATTTTCTTTTGGAATTTTATTGCGTTCTAACAAATCAGCGTATTGTAAAAATCAATAAATATTCTTGTAGGAAAGTGGATGGTCTTCAAAAAAGATCTGATATTATTTTTCATTTAATCGACTCGTTTGAAAGTTCAGTTCAACTTCAAATCATATATGATAACTAATGTATTATAATAAAATGGTCCTATAATTTTTCAATTAAAATAGAATTTAATATTTATGTAAAGTAATACTACTTCTTTTAATTTTCATTAGCTTCAGTCACATTAGATTTTTCTATAATATCTTTTTTGCTTAGTATAATCATCATTTTAACATAATTTTTATTTGACAAACATTTCTACCATAACTTAACAAATATTTTACAATGTTAATTAAAAGAGGAATCGTCCCGACAAGACCCTCGCTGAAGGTCTTTACCACATACGTTGAGAAAATATCAAGGTTTGAACTGCCCAGTCCAAATCTTCAGAAAAAACTCTACATGTGTGGCTACCATTAAGATTCTATATCTACGCGACAAATTAATATCGATCCCTGTCATACAGTATTAATCTCAATCTCAATTGACTTGATATGAACCAACGAACTAACTTGCATGTATACTGTCTTTTTCAATTTGTCACAGCTGGTAAAACTTCGAAGTATTTGTTCTAGCGAAAGGTTTTATACTAATTTTAACACTTTAAACATTCCATTTGCGGATATATTTCGATTCCATCTCAAATGACTCTTTATTTTAGAGTTTTATTACATAGTTTATTGATAATCTTCCAAAAAGTTCATAATATATCTCATAAAAATTCAAATTGTAGATGAGCTTTTGTGATTACTGCAGAATTGATTAACTTGAATTGATACTACAATTGTAGTATCCAATTGTAGTATCCAATTATAGTATCCAATACAATCTCCAAACCAAAAGCGAGAAATACGGGTCTAGTGTTAGAACTGTCAGCTACTGTCACTTAGAGTTTAAAAAGAAACGGTGCTGTTAAAAATTTATCATAAACATATATGGAAATTTGACTGAAGTCTTTTAGAAAAAAGTTTAAATATTTTTAATACTTAATATATAATAATTAATAATTATTATCAAAGAAAATCTTTGATTTTTCTCGGTCGTAAGTTCTAAGAAATTTCTTCAAGATTCTTAGACCTCTGGAGGATTGTTATTGCAGGTTACGTATTGAGTCTTCCAGGTTCTTGAGTTCCGTTTAAGTTGTTTTTCACTTGGGAAGCAGAACAGTTCTGGTCCAATTAGTGGAGTGTTCGCTCTTTTTCTAGCTAGATCGCTTGCTTTTTCATTGCCTTCTATCTCTTGGTGGGCTAGCACCCAGAGCAGGAAGACTAATTGGTTGAGCTTCTCGAGGCATTCTTTGGTCAACTTTGAATTGATGATTACTCATTTGATCGCTTTTAATGCTGCTTTGACTTCTCAAATAAAACAATATTTCTCTTTCAAAATATCATGTGTCATTTATCTTGCACTACTATTTCAAATGCGTTTAAGTAATCCTCTGTATCATCGACCATCCTCAGTCATACATCCTGTAGAACAAGACGAAAAAAGTAAAATAAAGAAGTTCAGTATTGCGTCTGTCTTTCTCTATCGCCGTGGCCCGCGAATGAGCGGAGCGTACGGGGGCGCAGCACCGCCCTATCGAGCCCTCCGCAACAATCGGAAAGGCGCGGCAACAATGCCGGCCAGCATTATAAAGCGACTCTGTGCAACGCAACAAGGTCGCATTGCTCAGTCGACATCGGTGTGTTGAGCCCCAGCCATGGTCAGGGTGGCAACGGCGATGGCATCGCCTAATCCTCTGCTCCTGGTGCTGGTCATCTTGACCATAGTGGCCGCGATCCCCAAAGCGGTCATCGCAATCGATCTTAGTCGACTCTACGGACACATCAGCTCGAAGCGAGGTAAGCTTAGTCTTTGGCAACGTTGCTATGAATGAGTCCCACTGCTTTCTTAACTGCTATCTAACTATTCTTCACATATTTTAATCAAAATATATATGGACACTCATCATAAAAAGGTTGTAAAGAGAATAAATGAAATGTAGGACAGCTATTTGCTTTCCCCGCCCATTCATATTCCACATAAACAGTGAAAAGCACTTGTTGGCTGCCTGCATCAACAGTTGTGTCGCAGTAAATCGATCGATATCATTTATTTATTTGCTTTGTTTCCCCCCTTTTTCTCTTTGTTCAAATTGGCTACAACACACATTATCTCGCCACTTTAAGATTTACACGTATCTGCAAAATTAATAAAATTTCTTTTAAAATAATAGTCGGATAGAGCATGATTATGAAGCAGATAGACAAAATATTTTATATATAAAATGAGATTCATATATTTAAAAATTATGCATGAATTGATAATTTTCCGTTTAAAAATTCTACTGTTGTATAAACATAAATTATTAGCATGTCTCGTAGAAAATTATTCCATAATTATAATAGTTTATATTAATTTTAAACAAAATAAACGGCCACAATATCACTGATTACGCGAGAGAAACAAGTGTAGAAAATATTGTACCGATAAATGTGTAACATACCATACCATTTTCTTTTTATGACATAAATTTTATTAAAAAAATTATCTACACAGCTTCTTTAGTCTCAGCCGACCTACTTATGATTACTTTTACATTGATTCAGACCCTACTGATGCGAAAGAATCAATTGAGACTGATGTTCTGACTACTCGCACTAGGTTTACATGTATCTGCAAAATTAGTAAGATCTCTTTTAAAAATAATAGTCGGATAAAGCATAATTATGATGTATATACAAAATATTATATATGTATATATATAAAATGGCAATCATATATTTGAAAATTATGCATAAATTGATAATTTTCCGTTTAAAAATTCAATTGTTGCATAAACATAAATTATATATTAGCATATCTCTTAGAAAATTATTCCGTAATTATAATAGTTTATATTAATTTTAAACAAAATAAACGACCACAACATTACTGATTACGCGAGAGAAACAAGTTTTGAAAATATTGTACCGATAAATGTGTAACATACCATACCATTTTCTTTTTATGAAAAAAATTATATTAAAAAATTATATAAAAAACACAACCTCTTTAGTCTCAGCCGACCTACTTATGATGACTTTTACATTGATTCAGACCCCATTGATGCGAAAGAATCAATTGACACTGATGTTCTGACTACTCGCACTAGGCGCAGTAGGTGATATGCGGATTCTTCAAAATACGCGAAGTGGGATAGTTGGGTAATGATCGAATAAGCTGTGGATAAAAGTTTGTACACCAAAAATGGTTAGGCTAAATATAAAAAAAGGAAAATCATATAATATAAAATTATGTTTATTTATAATATTTTTAATAATGTTTATAACAGTAATTTTAAATTTTATAACATCTTATAGACATTATTAAATAACTATAAATTTTATAGTTATTTTTATAGTCATTGACATTGTGTGTAAAAATCATGGGAACAAAAATAAATCAATTAATTATATCTAGTAATAACGAGTAGAAAAAAATAAAAATAAAACAAAAATTAATAAAAATATATGTAATAAGTCCTATGGTTCTTTTTAATTTAGTTTAATGGCTTCTTAGTTTATTGATTACAATTTAGAAGGCAATATGGGTTTATCTGATTTAGACAGATTAAAATACATTTACAGTATTAGCGACCTTTTTTATCTCTCTGTATCTTTCCTGTTGAATACTTTATAAATCTACTAAAGTATTTAATATAATTAAAAAATCCAAAAATAATTTACAAAATTAAAGATTACTTAAAATGTTAACTGGACGCTTATGATAATTTTAAAATAATATTAAAAAATATCAATTTCCGCCATCTTTTTTACGCGATTGAGCGAGCATAATTTATTTTCTGATTTTTGAAGAAACACACGATGCCCATGTTTGTATTTCTCTAGATATTCATTGGCTTTTATTGAAATAACATCAATTCCGTTAAAACATATCTCAGAAAAAACAAAAAGACTATGGGTCCAACGTTTATTTTAAAATTCAAGAATGAAGCCCACCAAACGTTCTTAATTTTTTTTGATGTTATTCATAAATCAAAAATAACTTGAATGAATAACAATATAACTTCAACCCTGCAAAATTTTTTGAAAACAAGAGATTTATTAGAATTAAAAATAAAATCAGCCTCGCTATAAGAATATATATTATGTAATTCGGTATACAGGGTGGTCCGAATTGTATTCGGGATACTTTGGCAGCATATTCTGCAGTTAAAAATAAGTGAAAAAGCTCATATAAATTTATGCCCTAAAATAGCTTCGTTTCAGAGATACAAAGTGTATAGAAGTTTCATTTTAATTTCGTTTTTTTCCGAATAATTTCTCAACTGAATAGTCAATATTTAGATTAAATTAAAATTAGTATCTGAGTGTTTTTTCACATAAGAAATTTGATTTTGGTGTTAATACGACTCCTAACTTGTACGGGGCGCCACCAACAGTACGTCTGTCCGTTCTGTAGCTACGGGGTATGCTTAAGGGAGGGGGGCAACAAAACTCTCGGTTACCAGCATTTCATGGGTGTACTATAAATATTTTAAATAATACTACTTACTTATACAAATATTTCAAAAATACCTATTACATTTTTTTTTTCAAAGTTTTTCCACGTAAATGAGATATGACATAATTTTTATAAAAATTAAAAAGTTAAAGTAATAGTAAATTTGAAAGTAGCCAATGTTTTGGGGTGACATACTCGTCCACGTGTCCACGTGGACTCTGTACAGCTTGTATATATGTAGGTAGCGATCTTTAAAATATATCGCTGTTTATTTAAATGTGTTTTGTAGTAAACTGCTATACATACACACTATTAAGGTGCGTTTCCAGCAAGCGCGCATAATGTTTGCAAATGTTCGCGAATGATCTAATTATTTCCGCCCATATACTAATTAATTACATACTTAATTGTGTTCGTTAATAAATTATTATAAATAAATATGGATTTGAGTTAGAAATCAATATAATAATAAGTTATCAAATTAAAGTCTCTGTTGTTATAAATAAGCATTTATTAAAAAATGAAATATCATTTTTAAGGTGTTACTTTTTATCACACTGTATAATGCCCATACAAAATTCAGTTTTTTAGTATTTGGAGAAATTATTATTAATCAACGCAAACAGTCAGTTAATACAACAATATTAGTATCTGTACTCTTTAAAAATTTGGTACATCTTTAAAAATAATCTAAAATGTCAATAGTCCATGGGTATATTGATAAATAAGTTCTAAATTACAAGAAAATGCATTTTCTACGGAAACTTAAAGAGATAGGTAAAAAATGGTATAATATAATTTTATAGACAATTAAATTGTGCATCTGATTCTCGTAAAATATACAGGGTATTCCATTTAAATTAAACAAGTTATTGCCGTTTGAAGCTAATAATTATTTAAAATAAATTTTTAGACACTCTGTATAAGGTAGTATTATTTTTATTATTGCAACACAATAACTGATCAGTAAATAAACTACAGTAAATATTTAGTATTAAAAACTTTGATACCCTTGGAGAAATGAAGCCTTAAAATTTTTACTGCAATTTCACAAAATTGAAAATATTTCAAAAACGGTAAGGTTTAAGTATAATAAACCTTAATCAAATTTACCTTTATTTTAATCGTAGAAACTAAAAATGTAATAATATACAGGGTGTTCCATTTAAAAAAATACAACTTTGATATTTTTTACTTATTTGGGACACTCTGTATCTTGTAAAATTATTTTTAAATTGTACCTCTAATAGTCCTTCATCGAACCCAAAACTTACAATTTGTAAAAATCTCATCGTTTAGCTACAATACTCCGTGTCGTATGTGGTGAACAAGCCTGTATATGGATATATTATGGATAGTTTAACTTTTATGATTATGACTATGATTGTGATTACGACTATGTAAATGTTCTATAAACCCGACATAACTGGCGCAAAGACCTAATTATCACTTAAAAAAATGTATCATTTTTAACTTTCAAGAAATCTTGAATTCAAGAAATCTTGCAAGACTCTTGAAATTTCTTGCATATTAAAGTCTTGTCTTGTCTTGAAATTCAAGACAAGAAATTTTGAAAGTTTTGTCTTGAACTTGAAGACCAACACTCTTGCAAGACTTTTTCAAGACTCTTGTGCAACACTAGTCAATACATGTCATTATCGACAAAGAACAAACATATTCAGTAGATAGTTATTTGACTGAAATTTGTGTATTTTTTTAAATTAATCTTCGAAAAATTCATGATAAAAGAGTTTTGAGAGACTTTGAGTCATTTTTCCCATCCGGCCTCGAACCACCATGAATGAGCAGTGTGTATCAATAGATTTTTAAACTCCACAGCATCGCCACAGAAAGTATCATTTTTACTCCTAATAAAACAACATACTATTTTGGCTCTTATATGGCTAAAAAATTATGACGTCCGGATTTTGTCCGGATTTTTGGGAAGGCTTGTCCGGTGTGGACAAGTTTTCATCTGGTAACCCTATTCAAGCCGGCACTTTATTAATCAAAGTAACAAGTTCTATTCAAATAACTTAAATCTAATTGTATTCATTATAAAAACCATATATTTAAAATCGTTTTATATCGATTAAAATTGTATTGCCATTATAATCAGGACTGCGTACAGGTTGAAACGACGTTTGAAATAAAATTATTCTAAAGATCAATAATGTAGCTGCGTGTCATTTAAATGTATATTAATGACAAAGGAATGATATTTTATTCAGTCTAAAAAAGCAAATAGAATATATTTTGCGGGGATGGATCATAAATAAAAAAAAATTTAATAATATACACTCACCGGCAAAAAAAACCGGCCACTAAAAACTAGTCCTAATTTCAAAGTTGGATT